TTTAGAGCACTTCATGCTTCCTGCAGCTGACCAACTTTTTGGAGATGCAGATTTCATTTTCCAACAGGACTTGGCACCTGCACACAGTGCCAAAGCTACCAGTACCTGGTTGAAGGACCATGGTATCCCTGTTCTTAATTGGCCAGCAAACTCTCCTGACCTTAACCCCATAGAAAATCTATGGGGTATTGTGAAGAAGAAGATGCAATACACCAGACCCAACAATTCAGAAGAGCTAAAAGCCACTATTAGAGCAACCTGGGCTATCATAACACCTGAGCAGTGCCACAGACTGATGGACTCCATGCCACGCCGCATTGCTGCAGTAATACAGGCCAAAGGAGGCCCAACTAAATACTGAGTGCTGTACATGCTCATACTTTTCATGTTCATACTTTTCAGTTGGCCAACATTTCTATAAATCCTTTGTTTTTATTGGTCTTCAGTAATATTCTAATTTTCTGATATGATGAATTTGAGATTTTCATTTGTTGTCATTTGTAATCATCAAAATTAAACAAAATAAACATCTGAAATATATGAGTTTGTATGTAATGTATGAATATAATATACAAGTTTCACTTTTTAAATGGAATTACTGAAATCAATCTACTTTTTCATGATATTCTAATTTTATGACCAGCACCTGTATATGTAGTCCTTCTCCTTGTTTTCCTCTGACCCAGATTTCTTTCTTTCTGTTTTCTCCTGGGGTTGGTAGACATCAGTAAATCTGTTCACAGTCTTTAATGTCTTTTTCAGCTTACAGATACAAATGCTTCTTGTAGTAAGTGTTTACTCCCAGGAGATGGCACTGTTAAACAGCACTTATTCATCAGCTGTAAGCTGCTAACCACCATGATGATTCAAATTTAACATGTTTTTTTTGTTTTGTTTTTTTTACCATAAGATTTGTTGATGTTTGGATGTTATAGCTTTTGTTACAGAGCAATTGATTTTTAAAAACAATAGCAGAAAAAAGACAACAAGAACAAACAGCTGAAAGCTAAATAATGTAGAATAGATATTGTGGTACAAAATTCTCCAACTTTGAGGTCAAAAGGTTTATTTGGTCGATAATAATAATTTTCTTCCATGGAGTTACAACAGAAACTTAAAAAACAGCACCCTAACTAGAGATTTACAAGTATTGTATGCAAATATTCTACCTGGAAATCTATTTAGTGACAGATGACCAATTATGGAAGAAATAATGATTTAAAAGTAAAAATTCGGGCAGTATTCTGATAGTTTGTGATCTATTCTCTACCTTTGAGATGTTTCAACTATACAGTTTAATCTTATTTTCTGAGCAGAAAAACAAGACAAAACAACCAACGGGGACAAAGGTGTTCCTAAAGGATTTTTATAAACCTCTCCCACATAGAACATCTTTTGGGGGAAATGAGATGGCTTATTTTTTCTAGCGAGTGTGATAGGTGCTAAAATTCTTTAAAGTATTTCTGGTCAAACCCATTTCCTTTTGACAATCATGATCTGTTGTTCTAGACAGCAAAGCCCCAAATATGTAGTGGAGCCCTTCCCATTTGTGAGGGACATTGGTCCAACTGCCCTTTTTTTGCAGGGACAAAATGTGGTTGAAAAGCATTTATCAGCTTTGAAGACCAAGGGGATGGCAGATTTTTTATGAATTTATGTTTTATACTTTCTGAAGATTTTTTTTCCCTTTAAAATATAATTTTTCCCAACCAGAAACCAAAATGCAAACATTTAGAGTAGCTCTTCCATAATGGTTGCAAATTACTCTAATTATCATGCCTCTTTTCTTGCCTCAATAAGGGTCTTTTGTAATAGGTAATTGAAAATGTCCCTGCTGCAGTTTCTGTCCTGCTTTGTCCATTTAACACATCCTTTCAAGTGTCTCTGATTTTTTCATTCTTCGATATTGAAATTCAATTTTGTCCTAGTTAGGGTAAATTCATTGAACTTATTTACCATTTTTCTAGTATTGCCCACCATTTAAAGGCCTTTTACAGTTTGAGTCACCCTTTCACACTATCAAACACACACATTCATACACTGATGCACAGTATTGATACCTGATAAACTCAACTAGTGTTGAATGTATTGCAGAAGGAAAACATTTAAAAGAGGGAGCAGTGAATTGGACTCTCTGTCCTGATTGTCAGAAAGTGTGATCTGATCTCCCTCATATACAGGGCTTCTTATTAACTGTTTTGTGTGACTGTTCTTTGTAATTTATGATCATTAATCATGTATTTTTTCATATGTAATCTTGTCTTTTATATAAAGACCATTTCTACTTCATATACCCGAGGACCTTGGCTTTTACTTCTTTATCTTTACTCTAGAGTGGAGGCCTATAAATATACCATTTATATCATATTTTAAATTCCCATCATGACCTCCATCAACATTGTCTTTATATAACAGGGATTATTTTTTTGCTCTGTCAAGGAGCATAAAGGCATAGGTGAGGAAAATGAGGATTCAAACCTGTCAGGAAACCCGGTCAGCCATCACAATAAGGGTGACCTGCAACTAAGGCAGACCCAAATCTCATTCAGAGAGGAAGAATTCTCCTCTGTTCCACTTTAGGGGTGTCCAGTTCAGGGTTTATTGCCAGTAAAATAACTAATCAAGTCAAACTGTAAAATAACCCTCTAGTTATATCTCACTGATGATATTAAGTGTGCTGAGGTGTTCCCTGTTATTTGACATTTATAGATGTTTCAAATGCTGCTTTAACAAGAGGTTAACTAGATAAAAAAAAAAAAAACAGTGGCATTGTTCTATCAACATGTAAGCTGACAGACATAAAGCTTTATCACTTGCTTTTAAATATATCTTATTTGTATGCTAATTTCTTACTTTTTTTTTAGTAAAATATAAAACCATGCAGACTAGTTAGCTTAAATGCAATGTTTTAACTCCAAGTAGAGAAAAGCCATAAGGCTGTTTCTTTTGAAATACTTAAAGGTATAGTGGAGGATGTTGTTTTTCCGGGTGGATCATCAAAATAAGTGGTCCTTGTAAATGTTGATCATTCTGGTGATATTTAAGGCTCGTGCTCGTCTCCATTTTCACTTACCAGTGGTGAGTCTGAAACAGTGTAAAATTTGCAAATCTTCTTTTGGAAAGTAAGCTTGTATGAGCAATGCAAACAGCAACTTTAAACAGAGCGTGCATGAGGAGAAATGCACTCGGCATGCTCTCGCATAGGTTTAATAGTACAGGGTTGCGCATGTGGATTTTTTTTTTTATTGGAGAGGGTGCATCTTTTCAAAAGTTTGCATAAAATCCTGTGCTATACCTTTAATAATAACATCCTAACCTATCATTAATCTCTTTCTTACTTACAAAATATCAAAGTTAGAAATATATATTCTCTGAAAGTGAAGAGCCAAGCAGTTGTTTTTCTTGTCCTTACAGAGTAAAGCTGTAGGGAAAAGGTGTATGCATATATGGACTCTTTTAGATTTGCAGATTGTGTTGGGTAGGTTAACCAGCTGAAAGTCAATGTATGAAACAACGGATGTGCTGCATTTTCCTTCAGTCTTAGGCCCCGTCCACACGAAGTCAAAACGAACACGAAACGCTAATATTTTCCAGAACGTTTGTCGTAAAGACAGAGACGTAAAATAAATGTGATCGACATCACGAATGCATGAAAACGCTGCAAAATGTATGCCAGGCCTGTAAGTGGCGCTGTGGTGCCAAAGCAAAAATAGGCGAAAACAGGCAACGAAATGCTGGGCATGCGCAGTAATATTTATACATGGTTGCCCTGCGGGTCCATTTTCGTGGTTCAGTCAAATTCAGGTGCTGAACTATGTCATCGATATTGCTCTGTTCTTCCTGGAGATATTCCAGAAGAAGAAGATTCTGTTGTAAGCTCGACAGCAGGGTGAGTAGCATGAGTAGCAACCATTCAACACAGTACGGCGCCATTGTTGTTGTGATACTGTGTCGCGCATGCGTGTTTAGAGGCGACGCTATGACGCATGCGTGTAAGAAAATAATGCGGTTAGAGCTTAAAGATGGAACCGCGAAATGGGCGTTTCAAAATCTTCCCACTCTGCAGGCTTAATAAAAAAAAGATTGTTTACAGACCCCTGAAACACCGGCTTCGTATGGATGAGAGGCTGGTTTGGTGAAAAATTTGTGCGTTTAGGCCAGAGTTTGACTTCGTGTGGACGGGGCCTTACTTGGTTCTCTTGCTGTTATGGTCAAAGTAGATACAAGTAGACATAAAACCGTTAATACTGAAGCGTTAATGGTTTTATGGATTATCAACAAAGATTAGTAAAGCTCGACACAAAAAGAAACCATTCAAAGGAAATCAATGCTTTTAATGTGCAGTGAGAAAGTAGGGGCAACTGATAATGATTGTGTTTCTATAAAGATAGACATTTCTTTCCAAGTGAAAATTGTGTTTATATATTTATATAAATATCTATATTATATATAGAATACATATCTATTTGCTATGCATACTTAAAAATCACACCTTCAAATATATTTAAAAAGTCTTTCAAAACACACCTGTTTTCTTTTCTCTCATTAAAACGTGAGCTATCTCTATAAACCAAATAAATCAGAATCATTGAGGTGGCAATAAAATGATACATCAAAAATGAAAACATTGAAAAGGTTTTGTCTTCTTTTGAACCTGGAGTAATAGAGGATTCTTTGTTAAGTGGGATTCAAAAACCAGCTTAGTCTCTCAACAAACCAGGAACCACGTTTACAGGAGTACAGAACCAGCAGAACGCTTAGACACGTATCCCCTTTCTATGGAAGATGAAATGCAAATAATCATGACCTCTCAAGCAAACTGTTTTCTCTTATAAAAATAGAATTCTTTTTTTAAAATAATCTACAGATTTTCTTTTTTAAGGTGAGGCATTTAACTATCACTCTAAAACAGCCAGGCTGTTTGTTTCAATAAAAAACAAAACAAAAACACAAGAGCTCCAGAGAGAGATCTGCCAGTCTGTCAGTCTGATTGGATGGGAGCATCCCACATGGCCGGATGTTTTTCGCCAGCTTCTCAGTCTTTTTGCATATTCTATTATTTTTTTTTTTTCTGAAAGGAGTTTCTTTTTAAAACAGATACGCCTTTTACAAGGTTAACAAAAACAAGTTTCAGCTCTTCACATCACCTGAAAATGTCCAGGTCATTCAAAAAGTTTTTTCATAAAAAAAAAAAAAAAGTTAGCTTAAACTACAGAATGATTTAAAATAAAAATTACAAAACAATAAAAACAAAGGGACAAAACAGCGCAAGTACATGGCATACTGGCTTTTCAGTGGAGTTAGATAAAATAAAACTTTAAAGAATGAAAAATATACAACTTTATGTAACAAGTTTAAAGCAAAGTCCTACAGTAGAGAAGGCAACAAACATGAGTGAATTAAACGCATTGAAGAACGAAACAGAAAAACACTGATGCTACTAATAAAATGCAAATATATGTACAGACCCTGTTTTCCTTTTGTTTGTATGTATGCACATTTTCTTTTAGTGAGGATGTTGGAATCATGTGTCCTCCGAGTTCCAGCACTTTATTTGTCAGTCTAGAAAAAACAAAACAAAACTGTTTTTCCTCTAGTTCCAAATAGAAGATAAAATCACTCCTTAGAAGAGACTAGGTCATCTTGAAAGACAGGAGGAATCACCTGTCTTCTCTGTTAATGGGGATGAATGGACCTGAATAGATCCGCTTTGTTCTTTAAACTTCTACTTTTGGTTCTCGTCATTTCTGATCTGACCCTGACTGTTCTTCCTGAAGCCAACTCTGAGTGTCCTTATTACTACCATATGACACTAGAGATGCTGGTTTCTCTTGGCAGCAGGGGCAGCATGGCGTTGTTGGCGTGAGCCTCCTCCAGGCTGTGCTCCCGGCTCTTCCCCGGAGGCCTCTGTCCGTTGAGCAGCGTTAGTGGGATGTTGCAGTAGGTGTGCTGGTTTCCCAGAGATGAGAGTGGTGGCAGGGTCCCCCCAGGGGGTATGTCATATTCGTAGCTGCGGTAGTAGTGTTTCTGCCTCATGGTGGTGTGGTAGGTGTTGTGGAACGAAGAGCGCAGCTCTGGATGGGCGGTGGCCATTGCTGTGGAAGTGGCTGCTGCCATGGAGATGGCTGAGACGGTCTGCAGCTCTCCGAAGGGGCCCTGCTCGCTGACATCCAGTGCCGGCTCGTGCGTTAGCATATGCTCTGTGCGCCTAAAGGGCATCTCATATTGCAATTGCTTCCAGAATTTTGAGTTGAGCTTGTTGCTTTTGGGGCCTCTCCATTTGATGACAGTGAGGGCTTTGATGGTGTGTTTAAGCGCTTCCACCTCCTGGTAGTTCATGATACCTCTCAGCTCAGCGCACTCGATCAGGATAACCTTGATCTCGCCGCTCACCAGCATGTTTCGCAGTCGGGTCTCCAGCTCGAAGATGCTCCAGCCTCGCCGCACCACATAGTTGGGTGTCATGACTATAATGAGGCGCTTGCTCTGGTCTACGCACCGTGCAACATCCTCTATGTATGCTGCATAAAACAAAAAGGAAAGACAAATTAATATCAGGAATTTCAAAGAAAAAAAAAGGTGCTTTGAGTATGCATCTGATTAATGAGTCCACAAACACAAAACGTAATGATGGGTTAACATACACAAAGACAAGACAATGACAGGTGACTTTTTTGCCTTGCAGCTGGTTTTAATGTGTAGATTTTCCTACAGAGAGACTGTTATGTTTAAGACTTCTCTGAGACTCACAGGATACATTTTTACAACATGGATTTCATAATAACCTCAGGCTTTTAATTATGGTTTTGAAATCTTTCTTCTGTCAGAAATTAATTTACCTGTCAAAGACAAGATTTTGTTTCAAGGGTTCAACTTTGTAGAATTTTTCATAATAGTGCCTGAATTATACTGATTGTCTCACATTTATTAATTCATCGACATTTATATTTGGTTAATGACCCTTTGCAACTACAGTACATCATATATTTTCCAAAGCTATTCTGCACCATTTTCACAATTTGTCCGGTCTTCTTGATGGAATAGGTAGAGATCATCTTAACTGGTTGGTTTTCTGGAACAGACAAATGTTTAGGCATAGGTAGGAATACAAATTTTAACAGGATGCTTGCAAAAATGAAAAACCTAATGAAAATTTAATCCATTCATCATAAAACTAGCTTTTAGGAATTGTTTGGTGTCAGATCTGTGTTTGAACATCCAATTTTCTTCAAATTTAAATTATCAACTGGAACAGAAGTGAAGACACAAAAGTTCCAGCTAAATCAACTCTTTATTTAACGGCTAAAAAAAGGATATAAGCTGAAGTCCATAATCATAGACTGAGAGGAACCTAACCAACAAAAACGCCCCTCCTTCAACATCAACACTCTAAAGCACTACCTGAAATGAAACCTTGAATACGCTTGATGCTCTCTTTAGAAAAGCCTAACAGTCGGAGCAGGCAGATGTTGCCGCAGCAACATAACATATAATTATACATGTCAAGGTGAGACGTTCAAAGCTAGAAAAAGCTATATCATGTGTTACACCCTCACAGACCCATTTTAAATGCAACCACCACAAAGACAAGAAGGAATATGCGTTATTTGATGCATATTCAGTGCATATTGCATCTTGAAAATATTTATCTTAAATATATAATCCATAAACCTGTAATCAATATAACACTAATGCCAATGGTAACTGTAAACATTGTTTTAGAGAAGTACAGTATCTGCGCCTTTCAGTTAATAACTGGTTAAAGATTCTAAGCAGCACATATTTAACTTGATCTCACAAAATCTTTCTCTATAAAATTATTTCACTGCTCTTGGCAGAAATGTTTACACGCAGGCACATTAGATGCATAGTATAAGGCCATAAAATTTGAGGACTCTCAAGAGATACTTGTAATATTTATAAATCCATATTTGAACTAGGTCTGTATTTTTCTGGGCTGTTAAGGAGTTTGCCAAAGTTTTCTGTATTTCTTCTGAATTTTGATCTCATATGCCATTGCTGAGAAAAAATACTCCACTTTTCATAGCAGGGATGGTGTCAAATATTTAAAACGAAAGAATTTCCCCTTTTTGTTTCATTTGGTTGAGAAATCTTCTTTTTAGGTCATCCAATGTTTCACAGGGAACCGAGAGAAGCACTGCAGAATCCATTTCTCCTTCACAAAGTTTGTCCGGTTGGCTAATCGTCTGAACTCGTTGTTTGCCACTGTCCACTCAGTGTGACCTGTCAGACAATTGTAGGACAGGCTTTTGAGGTTTCGAAGGATTTTTTTTTATGACTAAGGCTACAGGGCTTTTTAGCACCTAAAAAGACATTATCTTTCCAAAGAAGTTTGTCTTTGATTATAATTCTGTCTTGCAGGTTTAACAACACTGTTTTCTGATGAGTTATAGATTTCACTTTGAGAATCTCATCTAACAGCAAGCCCCTCTACCTGAAAGTCAACTTCGATCTCGTACAGTATACTATATTCGGCTTATTTAAAGAGAAAAAGTCTGATGCAAAAGAATACGAGTTAAATGCTGATACAAATGAGGTATGAGTTTTATTTAAATTTACTTGAAGGAGTCATTATCGCATTCTGATTTGTTTAGTGAGCATCTGCATTGATTTGTGTGAGAATGAAGTGTTAAAGGAAAAGTTCGGTTTTTTACACTTTAAGCCCATTTTCTGTAGTGTCCAGGATGAAATCGAATGATCGACACCAAAATTTTGACAATTGGTCCTGTCTCTGCTTTTTGGCTCATTTAGAATCACCCCCTGGCTGCTTTAGAATGGCTTGCATAGAGCATGTCCAATAATGTCCTTAAAACAACCTTAAACGTTCTTTTTTTAAAATATGCTACTCACCGTGTCGTCAGCGCTGTTCAATGACGTTCCAAAAAAAGTTTTGTAAAGAAAAAACGTTCCTGTAGTGTTTTATTTAGCATTTTGTAAATCCCATTGAGTTCTGTAGGAATAGTCAATATTCCGCTGCCACCGGAAACGGAAATGGGGCCTGTTTACACAGTTGTAGTCTTTTCGCTTCACTCTGTGTACTCCGACGTCGAGGTGCTAACGTCTCTGTTAAACACTTTAAAAAACTCTGAAAATGGAATACGAAAGGTGGATTCTTGATTCTCGGCGTCGGAGTACACAGAGTGAAGCGAAAAGACTACAACTGTGTAAACAGGCCCCATTTCCGTTTCCGGTGGCAGCGGAATATTGACTATTCCTACAGAACTCAATGGGATTTACAAAATGCTAAATAAAACACTACAGGAACGTTTTTTCTTCACGAAACTTTTTTTGGAACGTCATTGAACAGCGCTGACGACCCGGTGAGTAGCATATTTTAAAAAAAGAACGTTTAAGGTTGTTTTAAGGACATTATCGGACATGCTCTATGCTAGCCATTCTAAAGCAGCCAGGGGTGGATTCTAAATGAGCCAAAAAGCAGAGACAGGAGCAATTGTCAAACTTTTGGTGTCGATCATTCGATTTCATCCTGGACACTACAGAAAATGGGCTTAAAGTGTAAAAAACCGAACTTCTCCTTTAATACATTTTCAAGTAATTTAGTTTAAAAGTTAAATTCAAATTGTACGTATTTATGCAACATAGTGTTGTATTACATTTGATCATAATTGTGGATTAAGGCTAATAAAAACTAAAATAACCTAACCTTTGATGAGTCCCTTTATCTTTAATATACCACTGTCCTTTTTTTTTTTTTTTTTATTTATATATGATAATAATCCCAGAGGGAAATTACTTATCTGCATTGAACCCATCCCCTTGGGTACCGTGAGCTGCCATTATGAGGCGCTCGGGGAGCAGTGCGGGATTCAAAGCCCTATGCCCTAACCACAAGGCCGCCACCCCACTCCAAGATGATGATCTTCATCTCCCATCCAGCTTGTCAGCAGAGGAAAGCAAAAGGTGCTCTCCAAGTTTTCTTCTAGGTAGTTGTTCTGCCTTTTGACTTGAGTAAACACAGTGCAAACTCTTCCGTAGGCACTGCTTCCCAGTCCTCTGAAGGCTGTTGTTTCTATATTCCTGTTGTTTCTACATCCTTTTAACACACCCTTTACTTCCAATTAACTTTCCATTAATACCCTTAGATATAGAGCAACTTAAAAAGCTTGTTCAACAATAACCTTGGTGGCTATCCCTCCTTGTGAAGGGTGTCAATGCTCGAAATAGCCATAAAATGAGATTACATTGTTCCATAAAAATCATTTTTTTTAGCTGCTATATTCTAGTTTTCTAAGAAAATTAATTTAGGGTTGTGAGCAATAATACTGCTGATAGTGTATAAGATCTACTGTTTTTATCATGTTTATTATTAGCTGAAATATATGTACTTCTTTTGTAGTTAGTGATGGAAGAAAGAAAAAGATGTTTTTACATTTTACTTGAAATCTACTCAAAAAGGATCCAGAAACCAGAAACTATGTTATTAAACAATTTGAAATTATGACTATAGAGTATGTGGAGAATATTCTTTTTTTTGAAATATAGAATATTTATATATGAGCAGTTTTACATAGGTTTAATTTAGCAGCAGTGTCTATTTTTGCATTGCCCTGCAGTGTCTAATGTGAAGGTAAATGAAAGCAGCTACTGTAAATGCAAGAGGGTGAGTACCTCCAAAGAGTCGAGTGTCATCCTGGTAATGCTCATTGGTGAGACCTAAACATAAACATTTTAACATTCAGGTCACAGGCAGTACACATTAAAGACAAGACACAGAACAACTTTAAACACAGTTGTAAAAGGAAGAACTGCCTCCTCTCACTCAGCTTCTATCTTCACATATAATTAATCACATAACATGTTTCCCTGATTGGACATTCATCTGCAATGATTCTGTTTGGCACTGATGCTGGCGGCAATTTTCTTTTAATTAAAGGATAGAGGCGGCTCAGTTGGCGTGGCTCGGAGCCTTTGCACATTTCCCACTGATGTTTAATTCTTTCTGGACCAAGTAGGATGTGTTTTGCGTTTTATCTGTGCCACATGAAGTCTACAGTACAAACACGCGGCATCGCTACAAAGTAGAGCACACTGTGTTCCACTGGCACAAACGGACTCCTAACTAGGCACGAGTAAGCTCACATAAAAATATGTTCACACAGAATTTTCATGGATTTATTCCTGCATAGATGAAAACCAGAGGCGACGATGAATTTGTTCAATATCTCAGCTCCCAGTGCATCCCTCATACTGTATTCCCTCTTCAGTAGTAGCCAGTCCAGAAACAGGTTTGATCTTCAGCTTCTATCAAACACATTTGGGACGATGCATGTAAAAAAAATTCATGCTGACACTTTTCAACTAAATATTTTGGAAATTTGAAATATTCATCTTAAAAAAACCCTGATTATCTTATTAAAGTATTAGATTACTTATCCTCTTCAGGATATGATAAGCCTGGAAGCACAAAATACTTGCGTACTTTAAATAGGTTTGTGTTTAATTTATGTTCTTTGGGAAATCTGACTGTTTCTGTAGTGGGAGGTAATCTGTAGAGGTGAAGATTTACTTAAAAAAGGACAATAAAGGAACATTTGGTTAACTTACCAAAGTTAAGAGTGCAGGTCTACAGACCTAACAGAGTTTAGGTCCGCTTCACGAAGCAGGGTTACCAAAAACTTTTCTAAACCTGTTTTCTGAACCTGAAAAAGGGAGACACTGACTTTTCCGGTTCACAAATCCCATTCATTGGGATGATAACATGCCAATAAATGGGATGCGGCTGCAAAAGACACTTTACTGTGTAAAAGAAGAACATAAGGAATAGAATCTTTATATTAGAATAACAATTTTGGACTTCATCTTCACCTGCTGCCAGAAGATTTCCCCTAAATAGATACATTAATCTACTACCATTCAAGATATAATCCCTTAATATTTCCAACAACAGCTTAGGCAAGTCCTTTGATAAGTACTAGTTTTACTGAATGGTTGCTGATATTTAAAAATTATTTTTTTTACACAATGACATTCTCCAAATCTAGAATAAACATTCTGGATGTCCATAAATGAATCTCCATATTCCTAATATTACTGGTCAGCATTTGTATTATTTCGACTATGAAAAAAATGTTTTTCAGATATCATTAATACATTTTCAGTAAAGCTGAACGACCACTTAAAATGTGTAAACATTTCTAGATATATAAAACTTAATTCTTAGTAGTATAATTTTGTTTTGTTTTTTTACTTTCTAAAATTCAGTTTCTGCGACAAAAAAGTAATTTAGAAAATATATTATTACAGTTAGGTCTATGAGTGTGATTTTGATCAGGAAGAAACTTATTCTAGTGATTTAGAAATGGAACAACAGAGAGGAGTGCTTTTAATAAATGTATAAATGGCCTGCCCAGTTCATATAAACCTATGCATTAACTCGAGCAACAATCTTCTCCTTCACCATCTTCCTTTCCTTTATAGCTGTAGCGCTGTTTCTCTGTTTTAAACACATTCTTCTTTTTTATTTAATTTTTTTGCATTTCTCCAATAAAATCTCTAGTTCCAGTGGGGTGAAATAGGCACTTCCTGTTGCCTGTTGTCATGGTGACTCATTGAATCAATGCTCCACTGAAAATGGCTTTTCGAACTTGTTGCACATGCGCTTAACTCTGAGTGGACCTAGTTAAAATTGATTGAAATAATTGATAGCAGAACACTCAGAGTTCCCGACTTTAGGCTAGATCAATTAGAGTTGTGGATTTGCATCTGATTTTGTTAAACCTGCTTCATGAAACGGATCCCTGGATTCGTTTTGCTACAAATAATGTATTATGTATTTAAGTAGGGAAAAAAAATCTGCCCATGTTGATGAATATTCAATAACATCTTCAAATTACAAAGAGGAAAGGAACGTGTGATTATTACAGACCAGCTATGTTTGGGATATCCATGGTTTTACCATAACGCTTGGGCACAGAGCTTTCACAATAAACTAAGCCCACAATACTGTAAACTGCAGGGTCCAAAGAGACTCATCAATAAAACGTACAGGAATTCAATAATTATAGAATAATGCTAAAGACTTGTTGTCACATGACTGCACACCGTCATTGGTATTGATGGAGTCCATTACTTTATGACACAGTAAGTTGATTGGTAGCAATATATACGGTGAACTTTCTGACAGCCTTAAGCCTAAATCTGTTTAACAGTACAAAACATAAGACGAAAACAGTGGAAACAATGTAGACAACGTGTTAATCAAAGACAAAGGGCAATGCAATACAATAAACACTGCAACAGAATTCTATATGCAGAGAAAGCAAATGTTCTGTATACTCTTTTGCACGTGTTTCCTGGGCTGTCTGCATGTGAGCACACACATTCAGAGCACTTACTGCCTGTTGGAATGAGATCTCGATCCGGGATGAAGAGTTTGTAACCGTAATGTTTTTCCAGCACATCGGGGAGGATTTCCAGGGCGAAGCGCTCCTCCTCTCTGGTTTCCTGACTCCACTGATCAGGGTCCACTTTGGTGTATGAAAGGTATGCATCATAATCTTTGTTTTCTGAAAAATATAGGGAAAAGGCAGCGATTTCTTAAAAATGATGAGTAAAGGTGCTTACATGCACAAACATTTACTGTAAGAGTGAAACCTAAACACGTTTAAAACATTTTAGGGCATTTCATTTGCAAGCTTGGCAAATTTCTGTGGACTCTTACGTTAACATGGGCCAAAACTGCAACGTTGACTGGGCAACATAATAACATCTTGAAAGAATCACAATTCATATCTTATTTTTTCTATTTCTCTCTCTGTATAACAGCAATGAAAACAAATCAATTTATGCCAGGGATGAAATAGGAGTAGGTCCTTCTCTGAGAGGCTCATACAGTATATATGTCCCATCTGATAAGAATATGAAGGTTATTTCTGGAATGCATTTTCTTGCATACAGCTTAAAATAATAATCTTAATCTTACATATAGAAATACTTATCTCCTGGTGGTTAGGTGTTAGCTTTCAAATTACATCCAAACTCTCAATGGGGAATCTCACAGGGAAGAAACCTTTGGAGGATACCGCAGCGACTTATCTTAGCCTCTCATCTTTATCTTGCACTTCAGTCTCATGTCAGTCATCTTTATATCCTCTAGCTCCTCTTCCCTCGTCTTCATTAGTGCCACTCTCTGAATTACACATTGTAGTTGATCTGACTACAAGGAAATGTTTACTTTAATTCTTGCCTTGCAGATATTGTTCCATCATAACCAGCCAACACACACATCTCTTTATAGCCTCTGCTGTGTCTGTTGCTCATGATGGTTGAAACCAGGCACTTAATCCTTACATCTTGCAGCCTTATTTCATCTTTCATAACCTGAATATTTTAATCTTTCATCCTTACTTTAATTCTGCCTCACTTCAGTGCACACCTCCATCTCTAGAGCCTCTCCTTCACCTGTTTCCAGTTCTTACAATGACTCATGATGTCATAGTAGATCAAAAGAAACAGAAATACTACCACCTCCAAAAAATGTGTAAAAACATTTCCAAGAAGGCCTTATCATGATCACTGTGATATATAATTTTTTTTTTATATCTCTCTAAGGGTTTCTCAATCAGATTCAATCTGAGCCTCTGGTTTAAGTTAAATCTCTGAAAGATTAATATTGCTGCCAGTCAGAAGGAATGCATTGGTAAAATTAAAGCTACTTTAAACCTAAATCTGCCAAAAGGAATTAACAAATTTGTGGTTTAACTATATATTGCCATCAGCTAACTGATCATTTTAGTCACTCTTTCACTAGTAAGGACTTTCATTTATATATATGTATATATAAAAAACTTTACTCAACTTTTCAACTATTGTAAATCTATTGACATCCTTCTTTTAAATTGCTTTTCACACGGTTGATCTCTACAATTACATATATCCTCCACCCAGGAATTTGATTTGCATATCAATGACAGCAGGGGTGGCAAACATGGTTTGCGCACGCTGGCTGCTAAACTGCAGATGCATATCAGTTGTACCTTCTTTGAAGATTTGCTCTGCACACACAAACACGTTTGCACCTCCTTTAAGACACAAAATCAGGCTCAAGGAAAAAAGTCTTTTTTTTCTAAACCAGAAATATCTCTCTGAGTTCTTTTCACAAGGAACCTTTTCAAAGAAGAACAGCAAAGGTTTCATAAACTAAAACATGGAATTCAACACCACAATCGATACAACTCCAAAAACAAGTCAATGGAAAAAAATCTGCAGGATGTTGGTTCCCGTTAAAAAGTTTGTCTTTTCTTTCCACTGCTGCAGCATGATTACCCAATATGAGGGATTAATTCCTTTTTTACATCTCAAAATATGGAATTGTTTGTTGTTGGCAATATTAGGTAACAAGAAAGGATTCCTGCAAAGTCACTGACCTAAGCTCTGTAGTGTTCATCTGATTAAAGTTGGGCTGCAGTCTCTGATCCCAAATCGGTCTGCACTACTTCCTTCACAGGAATAGGCCAATTTTTAACTAGAGCAATACTTCTTCAAAATAACTCCTTACTATTTTCTGCTCAGCAGTTTTATTTGGAACAGAAGGGCTCGCCGTAAACAACTGAGTACACACACTGATTCCCAGTGGCGTCACATCCATTAGGCCATGAAGAAAAAAACAACAACAAAAATCTGGCTACATATATACACACACCCAAATCAAGATCCAAGCCTTGCACTGCTACACACCTCACAATGATTCCTCAGAAGACAGTGAGAAGAACTGAAAAGGCAGAAAATAGAATAAAAGAAGCACAGTGGCGATGACATGTTCAGTGACTGCTAGTCATTATTCTCTGTATAACTTGAATGTGGGACAGCCAAAAAGGGAAGAAGGGCTTTATCAAAAACTCTTTTGAGAAGCATAGGAGGCTTTGTGACTCCCTAGAAAGGGCCAGACCCGCACTCAATTGGATCCGAACATCAAACAGTGCTTTCAAATTAATAACTGACGGCTCAAATTAACCACCAAGCAAAGCTGGAGAAATCAAAAACGCTTGTATCAGCGGCCCCTGACAGTGTGACTTAATCATGTAGAAGTTTGAGTCAACAAAACTGCCTGTAATAGATAATTCATGCATGTGGAAGGGGGAAAAAAAACCCCAAAAGCTGTGAGTTCCTTGTTTTCAGAATTTTTAAGGACACAGAGATATGCTGGGACATAAACAGAGAGCTATTTGACTGAAGAGAAAGTTAACTATGTTTTGCAATAAAACATCCATTTCACAATTTCAGACCTGTTTGGCTCCTATTTGTCCAACCCCCCTCTGTTACTACCTGGCTTTTCTCAGAGCTGAATAAGCTTCCTTCCCTGACATATTGAGAGTGATCTATTTTTAAATGGGCAACAAATTGAAAATCCTTCCTCTTCTTTTCCCAACAGAGCCAGGGTAGATGAGGTCCCTGGCCACTTAGGAAAAAGTAGAGAACAGATTTAAATCTACCGGGGAGTCAGTTCCTGTTCAGTAAAATTGTATTTGTTATTTCATATATATAAATATATTTATATATATACCCAGTGTATTTTAGATATAGTGGGTTAACCTTACCTCCATCTACATCTTCGCTGCCAAAGTGCCTCCTATAAAAAAGCATCAGCTCAATCTTGTAGCATTTGTAGAGGGAGATGAGGAAGATGAGAAGCAGCAGAATCGCTCCCAGACCTCCTGCCAGCTCCACCGTGTACATGAGCTCTGCTCAGGACAAGAAACACAGACAGAAAATATGAGAAAAACTGCTGACACAATCACAGCTTTGTCTCTTTTTACAGATTTGGTAGTTAAGAGTATTGTTTCTGCATTAAAATGGAACCAGGATCAATCCATTTTTGTTTAACAACATTCAAATAAGAGAATTTGCATTTAAAAGGGAATTTAACTTTTGCCAAAAAGCTGGACAACCTACAGAAGTCTCCAAGCTTGAGAACAAAGCAGAATCAGTCTTCAGAGACATAAGGCCTATAATGAGTTTGAGAAAAATGAGAGAACACGTTGCACAGGGAGACATGAGGGGCACAAAAATCTAATGAGAAATGGGCTTAATTTCTTTTTCATGGTGTAGCAATGACACAGCTCTGCACCCTCACCGTCATCCATAGTGGGGCTGTAACAATTCTGGACATGGATGGCGGCATTTTCAAAACAACGGGTTTTAGATTACTCATCTTGCTGTCACTTGCTTCTCCATCTGTGTTTGCGCCCCTTTTTCCTTCCCTTTTCAGTCCATTTCTCTTCTCCATTATCGTCTCCATGTCTCCCCTGAGACCTGGCTGGAGGATGAGTTATGATGTGTATTAAAGCAGCATTTACCTGGTTGGCTCAGCTAGAACACGTTCAACTTTTATCTTTGTCACACTGTGGGCTTTAACACTGCATGGCTGCCATGGCAGCTGCAATCCTATCTCTATTTTATCAGAAAGAGCAGAGATACACCTATTCTCATGCCTCCAAAGAAACAATATAAAGCAGAAATATGTTTTCTTTCCTATATTGTTTACATAACCTTTCCCTTTTTTGTTTAATGTAATCAAAAGCAAACATTTATTTTTAACAAGAGAATTTCACATTTTTATGACTAATTAGTCTTCAGAAATTTTTTTTTTTTTAATGAGCTCTATATATTCTGTATATGGCTGTATAAGGCAGCAGTGGGTAGCACTTCTGCCTTGTAGGCTTCGGTTCCTGGCCTGAGGTCTTTCTGCATGGAGTTTGCATGTTTTCCCTGTGCATGTGTGGTCTCTCTCTGGGTACTCCGGCTTCCTCCCACAGTCCAAAAAGGTGACTGTTAGGTTAATTGGCTTCTCTAAATTCTCCTTAGGTGTGAGTGTGGGCATAAATGATTGCTTTTCTGGACTGGTGACCTCTCCAGGGTGTACCCCTCCTCTCACCCATAGACTGCTGGAGTTAGTCTTGAAAGTCATTGAAGAAGTGCTATTAATTGTACTATGTATCAAACAACACACCCCTCCAAATGTATTGGTATCTCTAGTAAAAAAAGATATTAAAATGAATTATTAGTCTATTGCTGTAGCAAAAAACACTCTTAAATAAATAAATCTAATTCATATTGAAAATACCATACAAGCTAATTGTTTTTTATCCCACAACATCATTGTTGCTAGACCTATTTCCTCTGATTATATGATCTGTTTGAACCGTCAATGTAAAATGCCTTGAGATAACTAGGTGTGTTTTGAAACATATAAAAATCTCGGTATATAATTAAACTGAAATGAATGGAATTTAAATCACCACTAATCATTTGTTCAACCCACAGGTACCTTGTGGGATGCATTTCTTGGAATGATACAGGATTAAAGGAAGGTATGTTTTGTACCCGATGAAGCTGTTGCTGTATGTCTAGTAATGTAAAGAGTAATGTGCATCCCACATCAGTTTGTTATACTTCTGGTTTGAGTCGATACAGTCAAGACAGAATATTTCTACTGGCATATTTACAACACATTTGTAGCCTAATCGGCCATTCATTCAAGTGACATGTCCATATAAACAGTACAAGCTAATTCTTTTTTGATTCATGATTATGAACACATTTCAATTCAGTTGTGAAATTTTGTGCATGTAAACATTAATAATCAGCTCTGAGTAATAATTATAATAAAGAAATTTATATGAATAAAACAAGCGGAACACTATGACGATAGCCGTACTGCTCCACTTGTGAAAGTAAAATCTGTTGGGCTCTTTTTGGCATCAAGACAATTATTCTTACTGCCACATCGCCAGACTGTTTTTTTTTTTTAAAAAATCAGCTCAGAAGATTTCTTTCTAAAGTACTTGCTGTCCTTCTAACTTTGTTTTGGGGCAAAACAAATTCAGGTCTTTATTCAGACTTGTTTGTCAATACTGGAATGGTTCTAAATAATTGCTCTGAATATACAATAGATATTGAGTAGAGAGCAGTTTACTTTTAGCCTTATCCTGACGAAGACACATTTTTCCTTTATTTGAAGTGCATGTTTTTTTTTGTTTTTCCATATTTGAAGAGTGACAAAAGAAAATTTATCTTATTTAAATACTACCAATAATGGAATCCTGTAAACTGATTAAATAAAAAAGAAAAAATCAAGTGTAAATAAAAACAATATTCTAAGGTAGCAATAGGAGACGAGTAGGAATCACTAACACAAGTGGAACACCACGGATTTGCAAACAAAACAAAACAAAACAAAAACTGATAGGATGTTATTTTTTCTATTTAATGGGTTTAAGTAATTTTAAAAGTTAGATAATCCTTTTTTCATGCTTTTTTTGAATAAAAGCATTTCCAAATCTTTTGCAGGGGTGACAATAGGTGGGAGGGAGCATCAATGTGTTAAATAGGGCTACATGTAAAGAACTACCAGTTACCTGGCACTCTGCCTAAAAAGTAAATCCTGTAAGAAAAATAAGAGCTTGATGTTGGAAAAAAAAAGTTGCATTGGCTTTTCAAAAACTTTAATGCTCCTAGCTGATTATCACCTAATATCTCATCTTATGGAACTATTTAAGGCCCACTGACCAATACTCTGTCAAATTCTCCCCTTTTTTGTAGATACAAGGAAAGGCAGCCTGCAGCGACGTTAGACCTGCCGCAGGGCTTGCGAGTGATGTGTTCTTTTTTGTGGGAAACATAAAATACACATCAAGATCTGGATGAGAGAGTCAAAGAGAGCTTGACTTAGCTTCTCTCTCCTTTGACAAAAAAAAGAGTTAAATGAAGCCGTCTGCAGTCCGAAAAGACCACTCAAACGGAACTGGGCTGTCTACAAAGGATGATCACAGAGAAAGAGATTAAAGCGGGGAAACAGACATATAAAGACTTAAAATGTAATTGTATGCTGGATGTATTGGCCAGTTGGGAAAAGCTGAAGACCAATTTGCTGTTTAAACAGCCATCAAATTACCTCTCTTGTGGGGTGACAGCCAGAGCATGAAAAGAGCTTCAGAGAAGTCATGCAAGAGAGCCAAAATAGCTACAAAGCTGCTGGTGCAAACACTGAAGATAAGACAGTACCAAATCCAATCACAAAGTGTGGGTAAATATAAACAAACTAATGAAAAAGAAAAAAGAGAACAAAGTATCTGATGAAATGTTGCAGCCTGCTTTGATTATTTTATTTATGACTAAGCTTAAAGCGAGCAAAATATCTGACACGGAAAACTGAATTCTATGAAAAATATGTAAAAAGATGTTAGTTTTTAAATTTGAAATGGGAAATACCCAGTTTTTCTTACCCCGCCTGAAGAGATGGATGGTTGCTTGGCGACGCCCGTCTCTATTTTCCACAATACAGGAATAATTTCCTAAATCCTCCTCCTCTAAAGAGTCAATGGTCAAGGAAATTGCCACTTCCTGCTCTCCAAGATGCTCCCTGACAAGCCTGCAAACAAAGAAACACAACAATTTAAGAATGTCTCCTTTGTTGATAACAATTACTAAACAGTACAGTTACCCATCTGTATATAGTTTTGATTGATGGATTTTTAGTTTGAAGTTTACTCTTCTGCAATAAAATTGGGATGCAGCCACCCTGGATTTTATGGAAGATCCAGGAAGTTTACATCCTGCCCAACAAAAATCTGTCTGCATTGTTAACATGAAGTTGAAATTATTCCTGGCTATGTTCACCAGGATAGACTTCTCCAGATCTGCCCTGTACTGTATGTCTTAGCCTATCTGTGGTTTTCATGGGCAGTATCTAAAGATATACAGGTGCTGGTCATAAAATTAGAATATCATGAAAAAGTAGATTGATTTCAGTAATTCCATTTAAAAAGTGAAACTTGTATATTATATTCATACATTACATACAAACTCATATATTTCAGATGTTTATTTTGTTTAATTTTGATGATTACAAATGACAACAAATGAAAATCTCAAATTCATCATATCAGAAAATTAGAATATTACTGAAGTCCAATAAAAACAAAGGATTTATAGAAATGTTGGCCAACTGAAAAGTATGAACATGAAAAGTATGAGCATGTACAGCACTCAGTATTTAGTTGGGCCTCCTTTGGCCTGTATTACTGCAGCAATGCGGCGTGGCATGGAGTCGATCAGTCTGTGGCACTGCTCAGGTGTTATGATAGCCCAGGTTGCTCTAATAGTGGCTTTTAGCTCTTCTGAATTGTTGGGTCTGGTGTATTGCATCTTCTTCTTCACAATACCCCATAGATTTTCTATGGGGTTAAGGTCAGGAGAGTTTGCTGGCCAATTAAGAACAGGGATACCATGGTCCTTCAACCAGGTACTGGTAGCTTTGGCACTGTGTGCAGGTGCCAAGTCCTGTTGGAAAATGAAATCTGCATCTCCAAAAAGTTGGTCAGCTGCAGGAAGCATGAAGTGCTCTAAAACTTCCTGGTATGTGGCTGCGTTGACCCTGGACCTCAGAAAACACAATGGACCAACACCAGCAGATGACATGGCACCCCAAACCATCACTGACTGTGGAAACTTTACACTGGACTTCAAGCAACGTGGATGAAGTGCCTCTCTTCTTTTCCTCCAGACTCTGGGACCTTGATTTCCAAAGGAAATGCAAAATTTACTTTCATCAGAGAACATGACTTTGGACCACTCACCAGCAGTCCAGTCCTGTTTCTCTTTAGCCCAGGCAAGACGCTTCTGACGCTGTCTGTGGTTCAAGAGTGGCTTGACACAAGGAATGCGACAGCAGAAACCCATGTCTTTCATACGTCTGTGTGTGGTGGTTCTTGAAGCACTCACTCCAGCTGCAGTCCACTCTTTGTGAATCTCCCCCACATTTTTGAATGGGTTTTGTTTCACAATCCTCTCCAGGGTGCGGTTATCTCTCTTGCTTGTACACTTTTTTCGACCACATCTTTTCCTTCCCTTCGCCTCTCTATTAATGTGCTTGGACACTGAGCTCTGTGAACAGCCAGCCTCTTCAGCGATGACCTTTTGTGTCTTGCCCTCCTTGTGCAAGGTGTCGATGGTCGTCTTTTGGACAACTGTCAAGTCAGCAGTCTTCCCCATGATTGTGTAGCCTATAGAACTAGACTGAAAGACCATTTAAAGGCTTTTGCAGGTGGTTTGAGTTAATTAGCTGATTAGAGTGTGGCACCAGGGGCCATCAATTTTGAACCTTTTCACAATATTCTAATTTTCTGATATGATGAATTTGAGATTTTCATTTGTTGTCATTTGTAATCATCAAAATTAAACAAAATAAACATCTGAAATATATGAGTTTGTATGTAATGTATGAATATAATATACAAGTTTCACTTTTTAAATGGAATTACTGAAATCAATCTACTTTTTCATGATATTCTAATTTTATGACCAGCACCTGTATTAGTTGAAGACCAGCCTGGTTCAAGATTCTAGGGTTCCCTCCTAGCTTTTTCCAGGTAATTTAATTTTGTCTGGATCATCAAGCTATGACGTTCAGCATGCACTGGAGCCTTAAAGCAAGAATTGACCAGTATGACAGTAAGTCTAAAGTCTAGATTTTTTAGCTAGAATAAGTTTGATATTCTAATCCAAATCAGGAGTTGATATGTGTCTGCGGCTTTGATAAAGCAGATGTGAGGACATCGTCCGAAGTATAGTGAGTCTTGCTCTGGTCTGGCCTGCTAAAGAAACATCTCAAATTATCTTTGCTCCCTACATAGGGCAATCAACATTAACCTGTTAGTATGAAGAACTATTTTGCAGGAAGTACACTGCCTTGTCCTTAGCTCTTGTCAGTTGCAGTGCCATAAGCCTTGATACAAAATGTAAGAACTGGGAGAATATAATGCAGGTTGGCTCTGCCCTTCAAAGTAAGGCTCCCTCTTTAAGACGATGCCAAAGAATGAGCTTCAGCTTTGAAGGACATCGTGAAACGTTTTCTCGTGCTTCCTATAACGCCCTGAGAACATGCCCTCTCATCCTCTCTCATGTAGACCTGGAAAGGGCTGCATCTGGGAGATCTCCAGAATGGCTGTCCCTGCAGACTGAGGGACTACATTCTTCAATGCTTTTCAGTTAAGTTGACCTGCACCCTACTGTCCAGAACAGGATAGGTGCAGAACAGACTGCTTGCAACATTTTCTATACATTTAAAAGGGAAAATTTGGCCCTGAAATCCAGCAGAATCAATCAATGCAGCTACCCATGAGTCACACAGAATACAGAGAACACAGCCTTGACAGGCTAAACTTTCCTTAACACTGAAGGCACCTCAACTTTCCCAAAACGGAAGATGGACAGAGGTACTTGGTCTAGCAAAAAGAGCTGTTGTTATCTACAGTGCAAGAATATTTAGACCTTTAAATGGCACTAAGCTGATGTAGTTTGGCTCTCTCACGTTTATAAAATTGGTTCTAAAATAATAAGAAACACATGCTTCCATCAAATAACCCTGCATTATTTCAGCTTTTTAAACAAGCAGAAAAGCTCGGTTTAAGGAAGATTTCCTAAAGAATTAACAATTTAAAGTTGACTATAGTAATCATACAGAGCAGCTGTAACAAAATAGGTTTTGTGAACTTTACAAAAAATAGATTAGATGGTTAAGAAATAGTTTAGAAAATATATGTTTTGCTAATTACAATAAGTCCAATTAGGTATTACTGTTTAATTGGTAAAACATAGATATGGACTATTTATTGCAATAATGATGGCATCTATTTATTTAACTAAATATTTCTAAGGAATTGACAAGTATTAAATTAGAGCCACCCAATAATATACATTACTGGTTTTCGAACATGGGATCTAACTTTTCTGTTTTAGATGCGTTACTGCTCCAGCAGAGTATTGAATTCCTCCCCAGCATCCACCAAGGGCTGTTAATCACCTGTTTATTAGGTCAGGTTTGTGGAGGTAACACTAAAACATGCAGGACACTGGGTCATGAGGAGAGTGTGTGAAAACCACTGTTAAAGAGCAGTTACAATAGTTTATACACTTACTAAACACATTAGGGGTATTGTAAAAAGGTATTGTATTAGTATTGTCAATACCTGACTGTAATTCATTTAATATCGGATCGTGAGGGACATTGTTAGTATAGAAATAATTTGGGAACATCATTAAAGGGATGGCTGATTAAAGCAGAGGGTAGCACCACGCCATAAAATGCAATAAACCCGTAATGTTATCATAATCATAACAGACTATGGCAAGCCTTTTAAAATTTAATAGTTTTACTGAACATGTATTCCTGATATCTTGAAAAAAAAGAAAACTTTTCCTTGTCATAATGACCATTTCCAACAAAATTATATCAGTCACCTCTAAAGTAAACATTCTGGATGTCTACAAATAAATTAAAGATCTTCATATTCCTATTGTTACTGGTAAGCATTTGTATTATTTTGACTATGAAGAAATGTATTTCATATATCATAAATATATATTCCGTCAAGCTGATAAATTTCAAAACATTTCTAGGTAAAACTTAATTCTTGCAAGGTTATTATTATTATTTTTTTTACTTTCTGAAATTAAGTTTCTGCTGCGAAAATGTAATTTAGAAAATATATTATTACAGTTCAGTCTAGGTGTGCGATTTTGATCTGGAAGGATCTTTTTTTAGTGATCTACAATTGGAGTAACAGAGAGGAGAGTGCTTTTAACAAATGTAAAAATAGCCTACCACAGTACACTTTATATAAACTTGGGAATTAACTCGAGCAACAATCTTCTTCTCCACCATCTTCCTCTGCTTTGCAGCTGTAGCGCTATTTTTGTACGTTCTTTTAAACACTTTCTTAACTTTTTCTTCATTAGAAACCCCAGTTCCAGTGACACAAAATATGAACTTCCTGTTGCCTGTTGTCATGGTAACTCATTGTATTGGGGCTCCACTGATAACGGCTTTTCAATCTTGTTAAGCACCTGTTTAACTCTGAGAGGACCTACTTAGCGTTGTCTGAACTAACTCATAGCAATCTGAAACTGAAAACTCAGAGTTACTGGCCTTAGGCTAGATAGATTTAGAGTTGGGAATTTGAATCAGAGTTTATTAAACCCAATTCTTGAAACGGACCCCAGAACCAAAAATCCTAATTGGGAGATCATGAGAAATACAGATGTTTTCAGGATCTTATTAGGATGGGTTCTCCATCCCTTTATTAGAGGCTTTTCTGGAAAAGTCCTGAAATGTGGGGACCGCAAGGAAGACAAAGGATCTGCTAAAGGAACTATAAACTAATAAACAGGAGAATTTTGCTTTGGAGATGGATATCTTACCACCCCCCTCTAGACCTGTCACCCCTGTGACCTAAAAAAAACAGGAAGTAATTGATAGATCAGTCCAAATTGCAATCTAGATCCATTGGAGGGCCCCTTTCTGTATAGCTTTTGCTATTCATGGAATGTTCATTTCTTTTCTCTGTACTCAAAACATGTGAGCAACAAAAA